CAAAGCAGGCTACGGGCCTAAGTGACACAAGTAATTGTCAAAGCGGGCTACGGGCCTAAGTGACACAAGTAATTGTCAAAGCGGGCTACGGGCCTAAGTGACACAAACAAGTTTTGAAGAACCAAGTCTATGCCGAGATTATGTTATAAGATTTGACACGTGTTAAGTATGTAAGTTTTGCAAGACTAAGTTTGATGAACAAGATTTATTTCATGTTTTGTACAAGCTATGATATGTATGGTTTTGACAAGATATGTTATGTATTGTTTGAAAGACCTCGGGGATCATTCGTTTAACCCCTTTATTACTTGTACCATTCACTGAGTATCCAAGCTCACCCTCCCTATGTATATATGTAGGTAACAAGCTAGAAGTCGGCTACGCTGAGATGTGTGTTTTGCAAGGTGTTTTGTATGCATGTTATGTCGGCAGTAAGGACGTCGGCAATCTTGAAGCTTTTGTATTTGAACATGTCGGCTTGAGAAGCCCTTTGTTAAGATGTAATGTGTATTTTGTACTTTGTTTTCAAGTTTTAAAGCTATGTAAAGATGTATGTCATTTCATTTGACTTATGCACTGCTCTTACGGACCACTTGTATTTTAGATTATTGCTTCCGCATTTGTGAGCCCCATATATTTATACTCTGATTGTGTGTGAACTTTTGTAAGTTGGCCTTCGGTAATTACGGATTACTGGCCATCACGGCACCAAACTACTAGGGGCGGTTTGGGGTCGTGACAAATGACAACTGGGCTTCGCAATAGAATGATAATTTTATTACAATGGTGAATGAAGAATTACTTTTTATTAATTTTTTAGTCAATTAAATATGAAAATAAATAATTTAATATAGTAAAGATTCTCTTTTAATAAATCAAATACTACTTAAGAGTCTTTAGCAAATCACATAACTAGACATATTTGATTTTGATTTAAAAATATACATATTATATATTATTCAAGTGATAAATATATATATATATATATATATATATATATTTTAGATCATATTAATAAAATTTATATAAAAAAATTAATTTATATATATTTTGTACCTTATTTTTGAAATCTTAAACAAAAATGCTTGGGAGCATAGCTATAAAATTTACGACAGTTGAGCATTACCTTTCATTAAATTAACAATTCATTAGAAGATATATTACAAATTGGTCTTAATAAAAAGAACTGTGAGAATTGCTTGTAGCCAGTAAAAAAGAGGAAACACCGAACTAAAGATTTGTGCATTTAAAGCAAAGATTTGTCCAAATGTTTTATACTAATAAAAAATATTCACGGAATTTGATACTTTATATCCTTCTTACTTTGGAATTTTTTAACAATTATCTCTTTTGAATATAACATTCGGCCCTTTCAAATTTTTAATTGTATAACAAATTATCTGTTTTATTAATAAATTATTAAATCAATTAATAATTTTTAACAATGAATATATTTTATTAAAAAATTTTGACAATTTTATTATTGTATATAAGAGTAGTTATAAATTTCATTTTTTCAATTAATTATTAAAATAAAAAATTATGATAATGATGTATTTATAATTTTTAAAATTACAACAGATTTTAAGCAAATCTCAAAAGAATGTATTTATATTTATTCAAGGGAAAATGTGAGACAGCCCCATTACAATTGATGTTTTGGGGACACTTTTCATGATCATCCTTCCTCATCGGTAGAAGGAGGGCTCCATTACATACTCATAGTAGTTGGTGATGCATATGTTGTGATGGATAATCAAATCCATCGCACACTTCTTTACTTTAAAAGGTGACAGCATAATGATGAAACCCTAAATTGCTCACCACCTTTAATTCTATATCCAAAATATTCTTCAACTCTTATACGGCTTCTCCAGACATAATCTGCACAACTCTTAGGGATGTCGAATGAGGTTGGGGTATAAGTATAATCAATGCCATTAATTTTATCAATTATAATGACGTATGAAGTATCATCTAATTCCATGGAGCAGCTTTCTTTGTCCCTAGCTCTATAGTAAACAACTCCCACATGCAACCCTGAAGCATAGTCGTCTTCCCCTCGTACCATTGGCACTTCTAAGGATACCGAAGACGACCCTGATATTTTATAGCTAAAACTATCACTCAAATCACCGGTATAGAAATAGTTGCCTAGGAAGGGGCTCTCACGAAGATGTTCTCATACGAATTTCTAATTAGTAGAGTGCTAGACGAAAATAAAAAAATTAAAATAAATTTGTGGATACAAAATCAATAACATAAAATATAGGTAAAATAATTTAAGAGTGAAACTACATATTTTATGATAAGTCCCACTTTTTTCACGTGATATGTATGATTATGTCATGTTTATTCTATATCCCCATAATCTTGTTTGAAATTTTTTTTGCATCAAATTAATATAGTGGCAAGTTCTAATTTTATCATTTAGAATTAAAAGACTCATCAAAGTTATTTATATCTGAAAAAAGAAATGTTATACATGTCATATGTGTTTTTATCATTGTTTTGTATTATTGTCTACACGGATATTTATAATTGTCTCATTTGTTTAGAGATGATTATTAAGAAATTAATGAAAACAAGTAACATATTGTCAAAGAGAAATGCTATATATGACCAATTATTTATCATTATTTTGTGTCGCCATCTATATGGATACTTATGATTAATTCTCTTATTTGAAGATAATTGTTAACAAATTAATGCAAACAAATAATATCTTTTCAAGTAGGTTGGTAATATAAAAAGATGATATAAACATGTGATATATAATCATCTAATATATTATAATGTAGCTGGTAATAAATCTAGTGAAAAAATTAGTGAATCCTATTTTTAAAATTGTTAATGCCATATTATTCAAATAAAAAATTTTGAATAAAAAATTCAGTAAGAGCAAGATATTATGTTCCATCTCTAATAGGCAACTCCTCTCTAATCTATTAGTCTTAGGGATGGGCATGGGTCGGTTGTGGCCACAAAATCTCCAATCTATCATCCGTTTGCCAAATTGGCAGATTGGAGAAAATCAATCCGCATCCGTCCACTAATTTGGTGAATGTTGATTGAGTGAATTGGCTGATTGGCGGGTAGATGCGAATCGGTTTGGCGGTTTAAAATTTTATAACTTTTCAACATAATTCAACTTGTGCACTTCTTCAAAAAAAAAAAAAAAAAAGAAAAAAAAAAAGAAAGAAGTATCACAGTCAATGATTTAAAAAAGTATTACAATTACTGTATGCCTCAGTTAAAGAAAGAAAGTTTAAAACTTTAGAATATTACAATCATTGCATGCCTCATCTATATATTACAATCACGGCATGCCTCATCCACATAAAGTATTATAATTTGTGATTCTTAAAATATAAATACAATTCAAACCACCAAAACCATGAACAGAACAGTAATAGATATTGCATGTCTCTTTATTGTTATATCTATATTTGCTTTTGAAAACAAAACCAACCAGCATATATCATCTTTTTTATTTATTATTTTTAGAGTTAGATTTAAAAATCAAAAAATGTAGATAAATAATACATTTATTTTTTTCAATTCAAAAAATATATTTAAGTTGAAAACTCTTTTTCAGCAGAACATATTCAACATAATATTTAAACTCTTTTTCAATTGAAAACACAAATAGAATATCTAAACAAATTGAAAAAAAAAGTTTTATAAATTACTAGGGGTGCTCGCAGTTTGGCGGTTCAATTGCGACTAAAGGAACCTCGAATCCGCCATCCGTTCAAAACTAGGTGGATTGGGAAAAATCAATTCACAACTGTCCGATCATCATCACGCATCTGTCCAAAATGTGGCAGATCGGTTCGGTTCGGTTCGGTCGGTTTGGGCGGATTGGTATATCCGCTGCTCACCTCTAATTAGTCTTGTTTAGGTCCTGGGATTCACCATAGGTCCCATTTTTATAATCTGAACTATTCATTTTGTTGAGTACTTCATCTATTTCATTCACACAAAAATTAAGTCGATCCAATAATCGTAAACTATTTAATTCATTGTATTAGTCACTAAAAAAAAATATATTATTTATTTTTAAAAACACAATTGTGATCCTTTTTTTGTGACAAATTTAATAAATTAAATATATTATAATTATTAGATCTGTCTAATTTGTTTTTGGATAAAATACACAACGTATCCAACGGAATGATCCGTGCACCATGAAAACAGTGAGGATGTTCCATTCCATCATTATTACGATTTGAGAGAATGCCGAAATTGGGGGGTGACTCAACTGGATTACTGGAGTCTTCAATTTTGACAGATCAGATATTTTTTTCAAGTGATGCACAACCATAAACCATTACTTCCAATAAATTAGGAGGAAGATCTGAGATAGATTGAAGACATGTGTAGTTATTCAATCCAAGGTCTCCTTACAAGAAATTTTATTTTTGGCGACAAATTTTTAGTCGTAAAAAATATGACTTTTAGTCACCAAAAATTTTGCCCATTACATATTTTGGTCGCCGGATTGATCGCAGAAAACTTGTCGGAAAAGTATTGGCGACTAAATATTTTTTAGTCATCAAAAGTTCGATAAATGGCAACTAATATTTTTAGTCGCCAAAAATAAAATTTTAGTCGCTAAAAATCTTATTTTTTGCTACTAAAACTTTGATTGCCAAAACTTAAAGTATCTATGGCTACCAAAGTTTTAATCGCCAAAGGATTTTTTAATCTTTTTGTATTTTTTATTTTTTTCATTTTATATTTTTTAGCTACTAAATTCTTAGTCGCCTAAAGTCTGCTTTTATTTTAGCTACTAAATATTTAGTAGCCAAAAGTTTTTCTCCATTTTAGATTTATTTTTAGCTACTAAATATTTAGTAGCCAAAAGTTTTTTCCATTTTATAAATAAAATTATCCCTATACTGATAAAATTAGCAACCATTCCACAACATGCACACATTTCACTTTCAACCATAAAAAAAAAAAAAAAAAAATAAGAAAAAGAAAATCATATTTAACATCAAATTAATATTTTCAAAAAAAATTCCATACAAATCAAGTATAATCCAATCTCAAAAATATAATTCCATACATAACAAAGGATTAAACAAAATTAATATCCAATTGTTAATTTGGCAAGAAACCAACTAACAAAAACACCAAAAATATAAAAAAGTAAATGCTATAAAATAAAATTAAATTAAAAAACTAGTGATGAAGCCAGCTGCAGTCCAACTCTCAAAGCAATTACTGAAGCAAAGCTGAAAGGTACATACATAAATTAATATAGATCGGTAACACAGATCACAAACAGTTGCTAACAAAAGATAGCACAAATAAATACATAGTTTTTGGACAACATCAGTTCCTAAGTAACAAGTGTTACATCCAAGCACTTCTTAATGTCCGGGATCTTCCCCTGATAACCACAACAAACAAAAAGCAAGAGTCGGCAAGATTCAAATTTCTTATGAACATGACAGAAAAGCAAGCAATTCCTCGTTTACGGGAACCAAATTTGACATATATAGAGTAGCTACAGTTTGGTAATGACTTTAAGACAGAAAAATGCATGTTTAGGCTACAACCTCATCATAAGATTTTCGAAAACTTGTAATTTAAAAATATTTAGCCAGAGACCAGATCAAAATAACCATTTCAAGTTAATTTCTACAACTTCACAAAAGCATAATTTAACTTCACTTAAAAGTTTGGATGATTACCTGTTCACCCACCTCAATCTACAACTTTTCCCATTCCTTTTCAATCCTGCACAAGAAAAAGCAATTGATAAGCTTTAATTCACACCCAAAAAAAATAAATAAATAAATAAAATAATCATTGAAGAAAATTATATTAACTGCTACATGCTGCAACTGGACTGCCCATTTTGTTCCTTTTTTTACCCCCTCACAACCTTGTCTGGACATTTTCTTACTGGTATATATCCAAACATGATAGGCTGTAAGTTAAACTATTTAGAGTTATTTAACATTGACACATGCCTCCATCTCTAAATTCAATTTTCTTTTTATTTCAAAACATTCATAACTGTTGGATTATGTCTCTAAATTCTCACATCTCAAGATTTCTACATAATCCAATAATCGTGAATATTTTACAATAAAACAGAATAATTTAAGAATAGAAGATCCATTGTCACTAAACATGAACTCTTTTCCTACTCTATTTAGGGCCATATGTCACGACTCCAAACTCATTGAGCTGACAATAATGTGGTAACGTAACATGGACCATGGTGCTCATAAATGATAAACGGTAATTCAAAAAGTTGAAATATTTTTATTTTTATTTGATACAGGTGGTAACTTGAAGTACCTGCAAGCCTAGCCACAGAGTTCCATCTTTCTTCACCATGAAGCTTGACGTACTCAATGAGAAGCCTATCTTCCTCAACAGTCCAAGGGCCCTTCCTCCACCCTTCTTCTATGACACCCCACCCCAAGTGTTGTGCCATTACTCCCTAACACATATAAATCAACAAAAGCCTACTCTGTTTGTTCTGTGTGAATATTATAGGTAAAGCTTGTCCTCTATATTTTGTGAGCCCCAAGTGTTAGTGTTTATGGCATATTTATACCCGCACAAAAAAATTCTACTTCATTCCATTAGTCATGTTGATGTCCTTATCAAATCCAACTATTCTCTCTCTCTCTCTCTCTCTCTCTCTCTCTCTCTCTCTCTCTCTCCATACGAGGTACAAACGATCCCTATAATACTATTTACCATGTGAAGTTGGTATTATTAGATTTTTTTTTTTTTTTGAAGACACTCAATCAAAAACTAATGGGAAAGGATGGATAAGTTTGAGTAGCTTAGAAAATTATGGGAGACGAGTATCTGATCTTCTTTGGATGTGGAGGTGTTAGATAAATGAACATAAATAGAAACATACTTATGGGAAAGACTTAGTTTGGGAGATCACCTAAAACCTAATCCTAATACAATGTTAAAATTTTTGTAGCATTAACTCAAAATTAATTGCCATTGAATTTAATAGTTTAGATAAGCCACAAATCTCTATAATGCATATGGAATGCCTATGCCAATAATTGTAACATATGAGGGTATTTTGGGAAACAAGAACAAGAACTGCCTAGGCATTGGGCAACATGTTCTTGTGTGGATCCAAATCTAGTAGAGTATATTTGTTGATGATAAAAGTAAGCCTAATTTAACTCCACTTAACAAAGCATAGTTTCAACATTTACAAACCTTATTCACAGAAATCTACCATGCCAATTAACATAACTTAATTTCACAAAACCAAAAACGAGTAATTTGGACTTCATGAATTGAAGGTTTTGAAACATACATTGGCCAACCTCCAAAGAAGGAGTAATCAAAGAGTACAAAAAATCAAAGAATTAGATGGCTTCTACAAGTTTCCCATTTAAACTAAAATCAATAACAGTCAAAATCTGTGCCCCACTGAATTCAAATTGGACAAATGGAATTATGGAACCCATCAGTTATACATCATTCTTTTAATATATTATAAATTATAAATTTGAAAGTTGAAGTAACAAATAAAGAAAAAAATGCAGTTCGGTCTGGCATTCATGTGTTTGGGGCTTTCAGGTAACCTAGTGAAACACATTGGGCTATGATAAAAAAGGCAGATACGCAGACAACCATGGCAGCCGCCTCTGTTATTCACACTTTCAGATTAAGCACTGAAACACATGTACTTATCAAAACAGGTATACATGGAGAAACCACAGCAGCATCCTTGAAAGATGGGAATCAAACTTAACAATTTAACTAAGTTCAACAAGTGCAGCCACAGTAATCATTTATGATCATGCTTTTCTGCTTCATTTGCAACTACAATTTAGCACAGTTAAATGAGCAAGACATTCCAATTCCCTAGCACAAAAAAATAAATAAAATAAATAAAAATTGAATTTACAACTTCTACTTTTTTGATGTGCATGAGCTCATAACTATTGTAGGTCCACTAGTATTGAGGTATTTTGTCAAATACCTGATAGGCATGAATATCAGATATGCTTTATTCCTTCTTTTCTATACATAGATAGGGATAAACACCAAAGAAAAGAACAACAAACCATAATTACATACCAAACTGATGAGAATAAAAACACATATAAAGATGTAGCACCACTTTTTGAAGAATTGAACTAAACCTGAACAAGTAGTTGTGGCACTCCACAGAACAACGTGTGGATCATCCATGGAGCTTCTTGGGTCGTTTCTTGGTAATACCCACCATTGATTAGACCCAAAATCACCACCACCAGAACCACTAGATTCGCCATTGAAGCTCAATTCAATGGAAGATTTGAAATGGGTAGTGTCGTGTAGATCTGAATTTCATGATTGGCTATGGAGTTTGGAGAGAGAAAATAGGACAAATCTAGGTGAATCGGTGCTCCGGTTGGCCGCGATGGCAAGGAGGTGCGGCTGGTAGAGCGGCGGTGAGAGAGGGAGAGAGGAGCAGCGGAGAAGGAGAGAGAAACATGAAGAGAGAGATAGAGGCACTGTTTGTGGTATAAAAACCATATATATAGTACACCATTAGCGACCAAATCTCATTTAGTTGCCAATTAGTTTTATAAAATCCCTACAAAATTTGAAATAAATCCCTCCAAATATTTTAGTTTTTGGCGACTAAAATTTCTTTTTGTCGCTGAAAATATATTTTTGACAACCAAACTTTTAGTTGCCAAAGATAAAAAATAATTTTTTAATTTTACATTCGGCGACTAAATGATTTTAATAGCCAAAACGCAACATACGACGACTAAAATAAATTTTTGTCGCTAAAAATATTCTAAAGATAAAAAATAATTTTTATTTTACATTCGGTGACTAAATGATTTTGGTAGCCAAAACTCAATATATGGCGACTGAAATTTTTTTTTTGTTGCCAATTCTGGTATTTTTCGCAACTAATTTCTTTTTAGTCGCCAATAATCAATATATCCCAATTAAAAAAAAATAGTAGCTAAATATTGTACTTTTGGCGACAAAAAAAAATTTTGGTCACCAATTTTGGTTGCCAAAGGTGCATTTTGTTATAGTGTCTTCTAGCATGGATAGATGAGTGAAGCCATATGGTAGGCTACGAAAATTGTTTCTGCCAAAATCCAACGCTCGCAATGCGGATAAACTCCTAAGATCGGCTGGAAAATCTTTTTCAGACAGATTGCGATCATTGAGATGTAGTTTTGTTACAGAACACAAACCTGAAACAGAGGATGGTAAAAATTTTATGAAGTCAGCATTTTTTCTTGGTAAAACCCAAGATGAATTGAGAGAAAACTAGGATTTAGTTGTCAATTGCCTATTATATCCATTCAACGATAAGCTCCTAAGATTCTTCAGTAGTCCAATAGAGAGAGGTAAGTGTTTAATGGATGTTTTATCTGCAAGAAGCTCAGTTAAGCTTTCCATATGTCCCTAGTGCTCTAAAAACTCCTCTAGTTTTGCGCAACTAGTGAGATTTAGACGTTCAGCAAACTTGTAGCACTGCCTGGAAGATACTTGAGGTTCATGCAATCTTTCAAATTCAAGTAAACAAGTTTTTCTAGAAGTCCTATTGATTCGTAGAGCTCCATTAAACTTGTACAACATGTTGGAAAATTTGGTTTTATAAGGTTTATTTTGGGCCAACTTTGAGCCCAAAATTGAGTAGGCCCCAAACGTCATTTGGGTTGGGTCCAAAGAGGTGACGTGTTTCTTGCCACATGACAAGTCACACGGTGAAGACGGTTCGTCAAAACCATTTATGAGTGAATGGGAAGTTAATGTCGTTTTCGGGTTCCTGGAATGGACAATTAAAGAAGTATATGTGGGTTTCCTTGAATTGGGTTGTCTCACATTGAAACTTTAAGAGAGCTTTTGTGTATATATAAGCTCTTGGTGTACTAACTTGGGTTGGGCCCTAAGGGCCACCTAGAAGGGAGGAGTTATGGACAAGCTAAACCTTAGCCCAAACCACCACGCGCATGCCACCACCGCCATTCGTCCATTCATCCGTCCAGGTGTGGGTCGGTTCTAATATTAATTTATTTGAACTTTTTCCAAAAATTCTTAACAAAATTAATTCAATTTGAATTTATTTTCTTCTGTCCATTTGTTACTTTCTCCAGTCTAATTTTCCAAACAGATCAAACAATCTAAACAGTTCCAGATCTGTTGGAACCTAAATAATTATAAAACTGCCAGACAGATTTAAATCTGTCTAGCAGTTACCAACAGACAGAAATTGCTGCAGTTAACATATTTGAATATGTTCAATTCAAATAGATCAAACTGTCTAGCAGATCTGTTGAAATTCAAACAATACATGTTCATTTCAAAACCACACCTGTTCGGTTTGAAAATCAAACCTGTTTAGTCTTATATATACCAGATATGTTCCAACATTTCTTTCAATCCGAAAATTGGCTGAAAATTTCATTTTGCTATCTTATTTTTCACATTTGCATTATTTATTCTTCATTCTAGTTTTAGAGAAAATTAAAGAGAGTATAGAACACAAGGTTCTAGTTCGCCGGACAAATTTGTTTGGAGTGCTACTACAAATTTGTGAAGATCATTGTATCTTGGGAGATAGACGCTATTTAACCATAAGCACCGTAGCGGGGCAAATCTATCTTAAGGACAGAGTGTCACGCACTCAACTTGGTCTTTAAATATTCATTCGGTTCGGTAAAAATAAATTCGGTATGTAATTTATTTTATTTGTTTGATTTGTTTCAATTTATTTATTTTTCACAGAAGATTGTTTCCAACACAACATTCAAGCCGTAATTTCTCAAGCATCGATAGTGTATAAATTCTTTACGGCTTGAAGTGCTGTTAAAACCAAGAAAAAAATATACAAAATTATATAATTTTTTTTCATCACAATCTCACAATCTCACTAAAGAATTTATCCAAAATCCCAAACAACAATAAATTTGATAAGAATATCATACCTTGCCATCTATCCAGAGTGTTTTAAATCTGCTGAATTGCATGTCTAAAACAACAAGTTTCTCTGGATGAAAATTGGATGGTAAATACTTCATTGGGTAGTAATGCCAACAAAACCACCTTAACTCTTCAAATAGATGTTCAAAATTTCCACAGAGGTGCACATGATTTATTTGAAGCAGTCTTAGCTTATACATCCTAGGAAATGCTTTATTACTCCATTGTATCTTCTTTAACAAGGGTAGGGTCAGGATCACACCTTCAACTGCTTCTGTTCCCTAACCTTTAGAAACAAAATGGAAAAATTAAAAGGAAGAAAGACTATAAAATAATTGAAATTATTGTTCTAAACCAAAAACTTACGAACTACTAGAAAGAATTAAGATTAGACTCTTACCTTGTTTTTTTCAAGTACATAGCAAACATCTTCATGAAACCACAATCTATTGCACTTTCCAAGCTCCTTTAGGAATTCTTCACAAATAATTTCCCTCCCCATATCCCGAAGTAGATCATGCATCATCAGCTTATTTTGTATATTAATTCTCAGTAAACATCTACTAATCAAACACTAATTCCAATTTCTGCGAAGAAACCACAACCATTGAATATAATAATGACATAGTCTCTGTCCATTCCATTGAAAAAGCATGCAATATCACGGAAACTATCGTTCATGTTGTCATCATCTAGTGCATCAAAACTTATCCTAAGTTTTTCCTAAATTTTCTCATGAGGAATTTGTTGTAATTTATCAAATGCACTTTTCCATTCTACCATGTTTCTTCCACACAAATAAGAACCCAACACTTCAAGAGCTAGTGGCAGCCTACTAGCACAACTTACTATTTGCAAGATCTGCATAACTTTTTAATGGATTGGTTTTGCCAAAGGCATGCCAAGTGAAAAGATGCAGAGACTCTATGTGATTCAATTCCTTAGCCATGTATCTTTCATCAACTTTCGGTCCCTTCAACAAGTGCTCATCTCTAGTTGTTATGATGATTTTACTTCCTGGACCAAACCAATCATGATTTCCTGCCAAGGTATTTAATTGACTTAATTGATCCACATCATCAAGAACAATGAAAACCTTTTTAGAATGGAGCCTTTCTTTCATCAAATTAATTCCTCAGTCAACATTGCCAATCTTTAGATTCTTTGTCCCTAATAATTCAAAACGAAGTTGTTCTGGCAATTGAACTAGGCCATTGAGTTGTCCTGCAACTTCTCTAACATTTGCAAGAAAACAACTTCCTTTAAATTGGAGGAAAATATGTTTATACATAGCTTTTGCAATGGTTGTTTTGCTTATTCCACCTAAGCCGTATATACCAATCATGCAAACATCATCTGATCCAATGCTCAACATCAAATTTAAGTTTTCAACATGAGAATCTATTCCAACTGGGAACACAACAACATTTAGGAATGTACGTTTTAGTTCACATATAACCTCTTTACCAATTTTTCGGATGAACTTTGTTTCATGCCTGTCAATCTCAATCCAAATTAAAAGTAAAGCAACTGTATATTAAAGAAATACAAAACCTTACAAACCCCACTCCCTATAGCGATCCCGGTTTTCCCTTTCGTGCTTAACTGTAATCCGGATTTGGTTTCGTAAGAGTGCCGCTGTCTTATCCTCTTCTTATTCCTTTCTCTTTGTGTTCGATCTTTGGGTTGTGTTGGGCAAGTTGGGAATAAGTTGGTTGTGTTTTAAAATGTAAAATCTTTGCCCAGTTTTTGGTCCCTCCGCTCAAACAGCGCTTTTGACGCTCGAGCGGGACTCTGTTGTTGCTTGTCCGCTCGAGCGGGGGTTTTGGCACTCGAGCGGGGAAATCATCCATCCAGTATTTCGTCTGCAGTGGTATACGCTCGAGCAGGGGATTGGACGCTCAAGCGGGCATCATGTCTGTAAAAGTTCTGGGAGCGTGCATCCCCCGCTCGAGCGGGGGATTGGACACTCGAGCGGGGATCTGTGAGTGACGCTCGAGCGGGGAGTTCGACGCTCGAGCGGGGCGACTTTTATATAAAGCCGAGATCCGACTTTTTTGTTCACTTTTCAACATCCTTTCTCTCTCCTACTTTTCCAAAAAAGCTATTTTGAGAGTTCCTATAAATAAAACCCTAACTTCTCTCTTAGGATTGATCTAGTAGGAGTTGTTTTCTCACCTTGGGCCTTTACAAAAGTTGTGTTGATCGTCGAGGGCTATCTTTTAATCTGAAAATTTCGGGATTTGGAGCATTTCCGTTTCTTCATCTTCTTCGTTGCGTCCCATCATTCGAGGTAGGGATATCCTACTCCTCTTTATGAGCTTTGTCTTTGAATTTTAGCATTTTGATATGTTGGGGATTGCTGGGTAATTTTGAGAAAGTTTGGGCCTTTGTGTAATTTTACAAAAGTTGGGTTTTATATATATAAACCTATATGCATGTTAGGCATAGAGAAATGAGATTAATGTTGGGACATTGATGGAAATGGAACCTTAGGGTTGTTTTGTGAATTATGGTAATTTGCCCTAATTGGTTTAATTAATTA